CCTTTGGTTGATCTCTTACCCCTTCACCCCCGCCTTCCCTCATAGGTTGGACATTCTGTTCAATGCTTCTATGATTCTGGTTCTACTTTTGTTCATCAGTTTATGTTGTTCATTATATTTCACAAATGAGTGAGATCATGTGATATTTATCTTTCTCTGACTGGCTTATTTCATTTAGCATAATGCTCTCCAATTCCATCCTGCATGAAAAAAATTTTTTCTATCCCTTCACTCTCATACTCTGTGTCTTTTCTTTTCTTTTTTCTTTTTTTTTTTGAGATGGGTTTCTTGTAGACAATATATAGTTGGGTCATGTTTTTGTATCCATTCAGCTACCCTATGCCTTTTGATTGGAGCATTTAATCCATTTACATTAGGGTTATTATTAAGAGGTATTTATTTATTGCCATTTTAATTCTGTATAGCTTAGGTCTCTCTCTATTTCTTCTTATTACAGCAGTCTCTTTAGCATGTCTTTAATGCTGGCTTGCTGGTGATGTACTCCTTTAGCCTTTTTTTTTTTTGGTCTGGGAAGCTCTTTATTTGACCATCTATTTTGAATGATAGTCTTGCTGGGTAAGTAATCTTGGTCTCAGATCCTTGTTTTCCATTACCTTGAGTACTTCATGCCCTTCCCTTCTGGCGTGTAGAGTTTCTGATGAGAAAGCCTTATGGGAGCTCCTTTGTAGGTAACAGTTTTCTTTTCTCTGCCTGCCTTTAAGATTCTCTCTGTCTTTTATTTTTGGCATTTTAATTATGATGTGTCTGGGCATGGGCCTGTTTGGATTCTTCTTGCTTGGGGTTCTCTGTGCCCCTGAACTTGTGTGACTTTTTCCTTTACCAGGTTAGGGAAGTTCTGCCATTATTTCTTTAAACACGTTCTCTATCCCTTTCTCCCTTTCTGCCTCTTCTGGCACACCTGCTATTCAAATATTGTCATGTTTCACATTGTCCCCCAGATTCCTTAAGCTGTTCTCCTGTTTTTTAATTGTTTTTTTCTTTTTGGTTCTCTGATTGGGAGATATCTCAACCACTGAGCCACACCAGCCAGGCAGGGAAGAGCATATTACATTAGCAGTTTCTCAGCCGAGTCACGGGACCGGAGAGCACAGACTCATGGCCTGTCACACTTTTAAAAGGAAAACTCAGAAATTTAAAAAAGAGAAGGGAAAAAGGGAAATAGAATTATATGGGAAATCTGACATCCTTTGGACCTTGAAAAGTTAACTCCAGGTTTCCTTAATAATTAAAAAAAAAAAGTTCCAGCCGAAACCGGTTTGGCTCAGTGGATAGAGCGTCGGCCTGCAGACGGAAAGGTCCCAGGTTCGATTCCGGTCAAGGGCATGTACCTGGGTTGCGGGCACATCCCCAGTAGGAGATGTGCAGGAGGCAGCTGATTGATGTTTCTCTCTCATCGATGTTTCTAACTCTATCTCTCTCCCTTCCTCTCTGTAAAAAAATCAATAAAATATATTAAAAAAAGGGTTTTAATAGTTCACATTTGAAAACCCAATCTAAAATATATATATTTTTTAAAAAAAGTTCTTTTCCTCTTGTGAGAATCGGGAGAAAATGCTTATATCTTTTTATGTGCAAATCTTGTATATAAGAAGACTCCTGCTACTATTGCCACCAGATGGCTCTTCCAAAAAGTAAAGCTTCCATCTTTGCATCAGAAATCTTAAATTGGCCAATCTAACTTACGCGAACACTCAGGTCGCTCTCTGTCCTTCAGTAAATATATATTGAACACCCACTATGTGCTGAGCATATTCTTACAAAGCTAACTTGGGGACTTCATGAAGCTCGTCCACCTGTTCTTAAACATAAACCTCTGCTCTGAGCAACACTGGTGTGCCTTGCCTCCTCCTGCTCTTTTCTCCATTTCTGGAACAATTCCCCATTTGACAGGCTCTTTCATCTTCCCTTGGCCTGTTTAAACTTTACCCCAGCCCACCCCTGCTGCAAAGCCAGCCAAGGTGGCATCACCCTCACGCTCCTTCCCTGACTGATAGCCCACAAGGGAGTCTTCTTTCTTCACCCCTATTAAATTACACACATCCCAAAGATTCAAAGTGTAGACGGAACTGTTTTTCCTGAAAATTAAGGAAATAAGAAGAGGCTGGCCAGTGTGGCGCAGTGGTTGAGTGTCGACCTATAAACCAGGAGGTGACAGGCTTAATTTCAGGTCAGGGCACTTGCCCGGGTTGCAGGCTCGACCCCCAGTAGCGGGTATGCAGGAGGCAACCAGCTTATGATTCTCTCATCATTGATGTTTCTATCTCTATCTCCCTCTTCTTTCTCTCTGAAATCAATAAAAATATATTTTTTAAAAACATAAAAGAGCTCTGACCAGCTTGGCTCAGTGGATAGAGCGTCGGCCTGCAGACTAAAAGGTTCCAGGTTCGATTCCAGTCAAGGGCATGTACCTTGGTTGCGGGCACATCCCCAGTAGGGGGTGTACAGGAGGCAGCTGATTGATGTTTCTCTCTCATCAATGTTTCTAACTATCACTCTCCCTTCCTCTCTGTAAGAAATCAATAAAATATATTAAAAGAAAATAAACATAAAAGAAAGAAAAAGAATCCTGTTTTATGTTACTATAAATATTACTAATTTGTATGGTACATTATGCCTAATATTATCTAAATATTAGCCAATTATCTTACTAATAGAAAAAGTGGAAACCTAAGTTTCCCCTTCACTGAACGTTGAGATTTAGCATTTCCTCATTGGAATGTTAATTTTGAGACTAGGAAGTATTTTAAAGACTGGAGGGGTTTTAAAGTAAATGCTCATATAATTAGCAGGCCAGGGAAGCAAACTAATTTGCTATTATGTTTTGGGGAAGGATTACTTCAAAAGACAGACACTGATAAGAATTTTCAGGTTGCTCAGTGAGAGTATGACTTGTCTGCACTGGCACCATAGGTCAATGGCAGAGCCACTACTAACCAACATGTTTCTACATAATTCCAGGAGGCCAGCAATGCTGTTTTGACTGGCAACTTTTCTCCTTAGAAGACAGTATAGTCCATGAGGCTCAAATTTCATTCTTCTGTCTGTTTTTCAAACTGAAACTCCATGATTTCCCCCACCTTTCCCCCCTTCCACAGAATAGTTACTCTATCCAATAATTCCTTAAGAATTGGCTTCTCTTTAGAAATACTCCTACTTTTAAACTTGGCTCAGGCCCCAGTAACCTTGCCCCTTGGACAGTGGTCGGCAAACTATAGCTCACGAGCCACACGCGGCTCTTTGGCCCTTTGAGTGTGGCTCTTCCACAAAATACCACGTGCAGGCGCGCATGTACAGTGCGATTGAAACTTCGTGGCCCATGCGCAGAGGTCGGTATTTTGTGGAAGAGCCACACTCAAGGGGCCAAAGAGCCGCATGTGGCTCACGAGCCGCAGTTTGCCGACCACTGGCCTAGAACATCTGCTGAGCCAGAAAATAAGCAAGTGTTCCAAAAATGATAGGACTTGTCAAAAGAACACAGGAGCCAACCTGAATAGACAAAGCTAGAATAATTTTAGCAACAAAGTAAAATAATGATGGCACTGGATTTTAACCTATGACATAAATATTCATGAGCCCATGATGTTAAAAATAAATAAATTAGTTAAACAAATGGGGGAGAAGAGACAGCACTTTCTTACAGAAGCATTACAGCTAATGAACATAGAAGGAAAAAAGAGAAAATAAAAATATTACCATTAAGCAAACACCAGAGTAATAATTGTGATAAACAAGTTCCACTAGTAGTTGTGAACACTTATGGGCAAAATCTGAGGAGAAACAGGATATTTCCATAGTTTTGAAGTATTTCCCCCAATATAGTTATCCTATATAATAAAAGGCTAATATGTAAGTCAACTGAATGGTGGAACGACTGGTTGCTATGATGTGCACTGACCACCAGGGGGCAGACGTTCAACACAGGAGCTGCCCCTTGGTGGTCAGTGCCTCAGCAAGAAGCTGGGCTCACCAGCAGGCTCAAGGCTGGTGAGCGCAGTGGAGGTGGCAGGAGCCTCTCCTGCCTCCAAGGCAGTGCTAAGGAGCAGCAAGCCTGGCTTCTGGCTGAGTGGTACTCTCACAGGGGGAGCCCCACTAAGCCAGAAGCCGGGCTTATGGCTGGTGAGTGCAGCAGCAGTGGTAGGAGCCTCTCTTGTCTCCATGGCAGCGCTAAGGACCCCTCGGGGGTGGTGAGCGCAGTGGAGGTGGCAGGAGCCTCTCCTGCCTCCAAGGCAGTGCTAAGGAGCAGCAAGCCTGGCTTCTGGCTGAGTGGTACTCTCACAGGGGGAGCCCCACTAAGCCAGAAGCCGGGCTTATGGCTGGTGAGTGCAGCAGCAGTGGTAGGAGCCTCTCTTGTCTCCATGGCAGCGCTAAGGACCCCTCGGGGGATGTCCGACTGTGAACAAGCCTAAGCTGGCAGTTGGACATCCCCCAAGGGGTCCCAGACTGCGAGGGGGCACAGGCCGGGTTGAGGGAACCCCCCTCCCAGTGCACGAATGTTGTACACCGGGTCTCTCGTTAATGATACTAAAAGGAAATGATAGTAAAGGGAAAGATAATTTCATAGTGCAGATACCACTTTACCCAGGTGATCAAGATGAACATCACCAGTGATAAGACATCAACATCATGAGCCTTTTGATTTTATGCATTGAGAAGGACACAATAGCATTTTCCTGTCCTGCAGGACAAGGAAAAACTGAGGAACATCAGACTGGAGGAGATTAAAAAGAAATACTAACTAATTGTAATGCGGGAAACTGGATGGGATTTTGGAAGAGAAAAAGGACAGTGGGAAAACTGATGAAATTAGAATAAGGTCATCACTAATAATTGGATTGTGGTTATGTAAGATGTTAAGATTAGGGGAAGCTGGGTGAGTTCAAAATAAAAACTATAAACAAAATTAAATAAAACACATAAGGCACACTAAATATTTCGATAACGTGAACTGTTCTTTGGTTCTTCCCGTTGCATTTCCACAGCGGAGCGACTTTCAAACACCTGGCTGGACGTTCGTCACATTGAAAAATATGTAGATCAAGGTAAAAGTGGAACAAGAGAATTACTTTGGTCCTGGGCACAGAAAAACAAGACCGTCGGTGACCTTCTGCAGATTCTCCAGGAGATGGGACATCATCGAGCCATCCATTTAATTGCAAACCATGGTAAACACTGATTTTTATGACATGGCTCTTGGTCCATTTTATAGGAATAATAATTTGTAAATGTAAATATTGCATTTTATTCAAGACCATGACTGGTTATGCTATATGTCACAGATTTCTCACCAGTGGCATTTATCTGAAGTGGGCCTTACTGCTTCACATTTTTTTTTGGTGCCACTTTCTTTCTTTACTACATAATGTATACAGCACAGTCCTTTCTACCACTTTATAGTTTGGGGTTTAAGATTTTTTTTTTACTTGCAAATCACACTTTTTGAACTGTTTTATTCTTAGCAATATGAACCAACTCTCTATCTAAAACTCTGAAACTCTTTGAAGCACAAACATAACCACAATCACAATATAAGTAAAATATAGATAATCCCATAATTTGTTTTATCATATGATTAGAAGTTAAAAAAATATAATTGGATTTTCCCCCTGTATTTTTGTGTAAATGATATCCCTGTGGGATTTCTCTTTTATCTGCATTGCTCTTTTTATGCCATTGCCTCTAATTCTGCCTTACCTGTTTACTGTTCATTAGACAGGGGTCTGATTCTTCCCTTTGTCTTGTTTGTTTCTCATGCTGTGTCATGCCTTACATGAAGAGTAACCTGATAAGTAAAGCTCATGAAGTTTTCTCCATTCATTCTTTGTCAATAAAATAATCTCCTAATGTTACCTGTTCTGTTTATTCCACTTTAGATTTATTCACTTCAATAAGAATGATCTTGAGTGATCTTGGGTCTTATAGACTCAGGGCTCTTAAGTTGGAAACTCTTTTGAATCACTATCCTTATTATTTGCCTCTTTCATTCAGTAACATTTTTATTTCTTTATATTAGCACACATCCTTTTTAATAATATACTAAGTGCCCTTGAACCTCTATGCCATTACCCAAAGAAACTTTGCACGCACAAAGAAGAAATCCTGAGAGATTTGTACCAGAAAACGGTAGCTTCAGGTTCACTTTTATTCTGTAGGTTTTCCATGTTAATGGGATATTAGGCAGTTTCCAATAGGCTTCTACCATGATATTATCTGTATGACTTGGCTAAATCCTTTTCAACTTTTGCACGTTATTTCTTCACTTAGTTTCATAGAGCAGAATCCTGCACTATGAAGCTTACTGATCAATTAAAATGCAACGAGTCCCAGGGAACTGTAAATTCAATGCCTGATCATTATCTGAGCCTTTTTCAACCACTGAAACCATCCACATGATTCACTATTCATGTATAAACTCACACCACTTTGACAGGACACGTGGGATGTTTTATACTTTAGTAGATTTCAGGGTATCTTTTTGCTCTCTACATCATTTATTTATGCAACAGAGAATGATGCGAACTGATTAGACAAAAATGTCACATTCTTGATTGACTCCTAGTCTGTTGCACATGCAAAATTGATTTTATTTTTTAAAGGGGAAGATTGGCTGATTGGTGAAAAGACAAGTATTTACTGCCCTAGTACCAGGAGATAGATAAATTTGAGATGCGTGGAGGATAGCACTTTGCGCTGAGTCCTTTTCTGAGCAAAGTAGTGATAACCAGAACAGTGAGCCGAGGTTTCCCCCCAGGGGGTTGTGTCTCTCAACACCAAAGAATGAGCTCTGCAGGCCAAAAGATTTAAGCAAATGCATGGAAAATTTATTGCAAGCGGATTCAGGCTCCTCACATGGGGAGGGAGGCCCAATAATGGGTCTCCTGTGAAGCCTGGTAGTCTAGGGGTATATATTTGCTGTAAGCTTGCTCTATATCTATGCTGATTGATTCCCTCAATTGTTCTTGCCCAGCAAGTTTCACTTGCCTCCCTAGTTTCACATGCCTCCCACTTTGAGTCCAAAAACATTTTGTTGTTCCTGCATGGTTGGTTTTTGTGATTAGGCTTGTTCAAACTGCCGTGCCTGCCCCTGAGGTATGTTCCACCAGCCTTTGTTTTCCACTGGACCCCTGCCCAGATTGCCTGCGTGTCAAGCTAAGCCTCTCAATAGCATTATTTAATTGTGATTTATTGAGTAGATGCTTTGATTATCTTAAAAGAATGTTCATTGTATAGCTTGTTAAAAGCAACAATGTGATGATTCATTGGAAACATTAAAT